GTGCCACGCTAGTAGTAACAAGTGCCACGCTAGTAGTAACAAGTGCCTTATTGGTAGTAACAATGTTTGCTATTAGACGTTTGGACGGTTTGGTTCTTCAGATTCTGAATCCTGTGACCCGTCGCCGTGGAAGGGGTTCATGCCATTTGAGGCTCAAGGGCCTCCTGGGCAAGTTTCTGAACATAAGGCATGAGACATCATGAGACCAGCTTCAGCATCGGTCCAGCGCAGCGCAGTTTCTGAATTAGTCCCAAGTTACAGGATGACGTGACGGGGCAGCACTCGGAGAGCACCCTGTATCATCCTGTATCCAATGCCGCCGCGAGAGCTTGCAGGTCTCAAGCCTGGAGACAAAGTGGCCTTCTTTGCATTTCTTTCCGATTTCTTTTTTAAACGATTTTCTAGTCTTCTAGGTGTTGTTTAATTATCGTCTTCTTGCATCCCCTTCATTTTCAATATGTTTTTCCTTAATCCTCTGGGATTGGACCTACTCCTAGTTCTGAGTTTGAGAGTCTTTTATGAATTCGGGATGTTGACATTGACTCCTCAAAGGTGATCTTTTGGCCGACCATACCAGATCCATTCAAAGAGTATCCCAGTTCTTGGCCGGTGGGTGGAGAGATGACGAAACTTGGACTCAAAGGCCCAGCTCATTTTCTCTTGATGAGTGGTTCTGATTGCAGCAGCTTTCAGCATTTTTCAGCTAGTTGACCAGGCAAGCTGTCAGCTCTTGGTGCTGCCACGGGCCATTTTGTTTGGACTCACGAGGAACAAGCAACTTGCAGCAATTCTGCTGTGGCTGAGGTTTCTTGAGGAAGTTCCATCAGCGGCCAGGCCGTGCAAAGCTAGGCTTGCTGATGATCGCACCGCTTGGGTTTTCTGGTGCGATGTGGCATTGCCTGGAACAAAAGGCGCGGGCAGAGGGAATATCATAACAAATCCCCACAGAATTCGGTTGCAGAATGTCTATGTTGTTTTGGGTGGGGCATGTTGCAATGGTCCTCGGCAATGTCATTAAGCTCCGAACTCTACTTACAGGGCCATTCAAGAGCAACAAGAATAAACAAAGCGTTGAAACCACTCATTAAGTTTGTGAAATTGAACGCCCGTGGCATTTCTCTCTACCCTGGCAGGTGAGTGGAAGTGTCCAATGGTCAAAGTCCAGGATTTGGCTGGCGAAGTCTCCGGAGAGTTTCCACTAACCAGTTCAGCTGAAGACCTTCTCAAAGAGGCGATAAATATCAATCCCAATCAGACACAAGCAGGAGGCCACATGTTTGAAATAAAGTTGCTCAGATGCCTATACGCGATGCCTCGCAAAGGTGCTGTTGCACTTAAATAGCTTTTAAAAGTAGTTGATATCATGATGGATTCTATGATTTGCTGTACAATTTACTTTCAGTCACGGTGCAGGTGTTCAAAGACAAAGGGCAAGATTTGGATGCAGTTTATTCCTTCGTGTTGGGCAGCACGAAGCTCCAGTGGGGTTTGCCTTTGGCTTCTCAAGGTCGCTTGGCTCTCCATGGGTGTTGCAAACTGTTTTGTATTCGCATGTACAAACAAGTGTGTTGAGCCAAGTTGAGCCCGGTCATATTCCTGTCACGTGCCAAGGTGTTGAGCCAGGCAGCTCGTTGACCCTAGTTAAGGAGCCAGCTTCTTCCAAGGCTGGGGGAACATGACAAATCACAACAGAAGCTTATAATACTTGTATATACCTTCTTGTAAAAAGAGGTATACTTGATGACATTACATATACACATCTATATATAGTACTTTGATGCAAACTTGTGACTTTGGTGATTCAGATTGCTTTCAAGATTCCTTCTGCTCATGTTACATTGTGGCCGTGGTGAGGCCGGCGTGTACTCCTTCAACATGAAGTCGTATCCAGAAGAACCTTGATTGCACTGGGCAATCAATACTTGTAGTGTTTTTGCTATCCGCAAGCCAAGAGGCACGTTCTGATGGGAGTATTTTGCCTTTATACCTCTTTGACATTCTTTCTCCTTCATTTACGAATTTACGCCCGAGTTTGATTGGAGTGCCGTATGTTGCTGTTGTATTTAAGTCAAGGCTCAGAATATCTCGAACTAGCGTAAAGCAAATGTGTCAAGGTTGTGTCGGCCACTTGACTGGTCATTTACTTGTCACGCATTTGGAGTGCTTTGACCATTTTCTATCATGCGTCGCCCAATGCAAGGATCGCTATTCTGAATGGGATGAACTTGAGCTTATGGCAGACAAAACCTGCACTTGGGCATACTGCACTGCAGGAGTCTTGGCCCAACTAGCCTTTACTCTCTTCCAAACCACTCTGTGCATGCTTCACTCTCTGAAAGTATTCACGCAGAGAAACATGGTTTGAAATCCATAGATTGCACGGAACATTTTTCCGAATGCGTAGCCAAGGGTTCTCCTTTAACTGCGGGGTCTGGGGGGGGGCGAAGTCCTGTTTGCTCGACATGGCGATGCCGTCGGGAAGCGTTCGCACTCGCCTGCAAGCGTTCACAACGAGGGCTTTGCGGCCATGGTCCATCATTGTACCATTTTGCAGCAGATGCAGAACTTTATGCGCGGTGGACATATTATATAACATATATTGATTATATAGGTCCACGCGCAGTTTGTTGTGAGGTTGCGACTCTTGGAGAAGGTGGTTGTTGCTGCGCTTTCGGGTTTGGAGGTTTGAGCAATGTGTAAGACTCCCCGTCTCATTTTTGGAGGAATTCTCGAAGTTTTGGAGAATTCCCGCATCACTGATGGAGTGCAAATGTAGTGCAAGCTTTGGGAGCTGCGGGCTTTGTTTGGGCTCAGAAGTGGCCAAATTGAAGTGGTGTGTTTTCATCGCTGGTATAGTATAATTCAAGTGCCCTACGAGACTGTCCTAGAAGTTAAAAGAGTGTCATGCGAGAGTGCACCTCAAAAGTGTCACACAAAAGTGTCCCACAAGTCCCACAAGAGTATCCTAGAATAGTGGCGCGCAAGACTGTTTTTCGAGAGGGTCAAGAGTCTTACAAGAGTATCACACAAGAGTGCCCGAAGTGTTTTGGCACAAAAGTCTCAAGCAAGAGTGTGCCACAAGAGAGTGTCTCACAAGAGTGTCTCAAAATTATGAAACATGTCAGACAAAAGTGCCTTTAAAGAGTGTCACAAAATTTGTGTTGCGTGTGGTCGGTGGGATTCGTTTTGTTTTTTTTCTTTTTTCAAGCATGCTGGCCATGGCCCAATGGACGGAGAGTAAGGGCCCGATACGGTAAAACAATGGGCCAAACATTTGTTAGACAAATACGTGTTCTTGTATTAATATATATATATATAGCAGCATTTTGCCCCTTCCACCCTTGCACTAGAAGGCTGCTCTGTGGTTTTGCGTGCATCCCTTGCTCCAGCCTCAGCTGAAAGAAACCCAGCGTTTGTGTATATATATTATATATATATCTACCCACGACCATTTGGATACTTTGGTGATAAAGGACTTGTGGAACATCAGGCTTATTTTTACAATTCCCTTCTCATTTGCCTGGGGCTGTTCGAAAGATGGTTCGCAAGTCCCGACAAGTCCTATCTCATGTCGTGAAAATTGCAAAAATGCAGCATGTGTGAGATTCCACAAATGAAAAGACACAAACTCCACGATAGAAGCTGATTTCGGATTTTCAATGTATTTCGACGTCACGAGTCGAAGGCTCCCCCATGAGACTTTTTGCCCACAATGCGACTCATCCCCTAACATGGACTAGTGATGACTAGCGTAAGTCCTTGCTCATGTGTCCTAAGAAAGGTTAAAAGTAGATGAATGTTGTCAAGTCCTCTGTGTAAGGACTCAACCTGGGCAATTCCTTACTCATGACTCATGGCGTGGCACAAATCCTTTCTCATCAGCGCATATATCTATATATATACATACATGACACTACAATAATCTATAATATATATATATGTATATTATATACAGTATATAAGTACAGACTGTATATGTATACACACTATACCACTATAGTTTCAGGGAAGGTCAAGATCTCGCGAAGAGATCAGCAAGAGCCGGACTAAGCAAGCCATCATGCGGTATGGTATGGTTGTTTAGTTGATGGTTCCAGTTCCAGTGTCGTAATTGTGCCGAGAGTGCCAACAATGACCTAAGGACCAGGGAGATGCAGCACTGTCTCCACCTCCAGCAAGGACGAAGCCAGCAATGAAACACCACTGTTTGGCACTTTCTTCTCAACATAAATTCATTTTGTAATCTAAAAGGATCATGGTCTTGAAGGGGCCTGAAGGGCTTGTATCCATGTTTGCAAGCCTAGATTTGATGCTCGGGGTTGAGGCATGCCCTCCCCATCCAATGTGATCCGTGTTCAATTGAGTCTTACATCTTCGTAGAAGATTGTTTCCATGTAGACCTTGGGAGACATTTAACTACGTGCAGTTCAGTTAGCAACATGATACGTATATGTAATGTAATCTCAGCGGCTGGCACTTCTTTTCTGCATCCCAGTCCTTCTCGTGATCGTGCTTACAGTATGACAAGTCCATTTTTGTGACATGATCGCAGAGGAACAGTAAACCCTACCAGTACTAAGAAGGTGCTTGGAAGAAAAAGTTTGGGGATGCCCACATTCGCGCAGTGGAGTTTGAGCTTGCTAAGCCTGTTCAGAAACGCCATATTCTTGTGGATAATGTTTGTGTTGCAAGATGCTAGCTGATAACTTTGTTTTGGAATGACCATCATTTTCGTTCTTCTTGAACTCCCTTCCAGATTCTTTTGGTTTCTTGCTCCTGCACATGTCGATTTCACTGCATGGAGCAAGCACCCATACACTTGATACTCACATACACACATGACAACAGTTTCAGTTTCCACTGGCCTGGTGACTATCCAGGACGTGAAGAAGCGTGGACGGTGGACCCTTGTCGGTCCAAAGGACGCCCGGCTGTCACGGATAGACTTTGAAATACCCTGGCCAAGACCCACCCTGTTGGTTAAGGCTGTAAGCCAGCGTGCACGTTCTAGTAATCAGGTCCTGAAGGCAAACTTCTTGCAAAGTCTGTGATCAAGGGTCACAAAACCAAAGAGAAGAAAAACACTGCGCACCAAGCTGTGTCTAGGGACTCAAGTCACATCACACCTTGATACTGATCATGCTTTCCCAAACTCTTCCATTTTATTGTCCACCCGATTCCGCAGACCCACCAAACCTCAGAGATACAAAGCATCTCCGTGCAAGGTCATCGTATCCTGGGATGGAGGTGAGATGCAAAACTTTAATAACCTGGGCCACTGATGTTGGGATCTGAATAAAGCCAACAAGCCGTTGTTACTCATGAGAACCCGAGGTTATCATAATTAGTGATTTGTTTGAAGTGCTTGAAACCAATGTGCATGGAGTTGGTTGCTGCTGCCTGCCATATGGCAAAGTAGCACAGCTCGATTCACAGGCATGTGACCGTCGCATGTGGATGCGAGTTGAGGAATCTGGACGAGTTTAGACTAATCAGCCACGCACCGTGCAACTCTGTGAGATGTTCATGGCTTCACCGGATGTTCTTCCTCGACTTGTGCGCAGTTTCTACGTCTCTATGCCGATGGATTAGCTTGTCTTCAAAAGGAAAGGAGATTTGTGCACAGTCTTCATAAAGAGGTGTCAGAAGAGGCACTCGAATTGCTTCGATCCAGTCCTCCCGTGACCACCTTACAAGTGGCAGTTTGCCATACGTGCGACAGGTCAATCCCTTGAGTGGTCCTGTTGCACTGGAGACCGAAGATTTTGCGGGCAGGTGAGGCCTTCAAGGGAGATGTCCTTGGAATGTAGTTTCGATTACTGTACCAAATGCAACTCATCTCATTCCACAATTGGTGTATCTTCAGGTCCAGGTGCTTGGCTTGTGATTCAGTTCCGACCTGTTCGGTTTTTGCCCTTTTCCGTAAGGCGCAGTTGGTACATTGTTGGTACAATGATTGGAAGTTTACCAGTAGCATGTTGTTGGCACATCTGTCAAGTGCAGAGGCAAGCCCTATACTCAGGTCAAGCTTACAAACACTACTGTACAAGAACTTACTTTATTGCAGATTTGTTTGGCCGTCGAGGATACTCATCCTCAATCGGCCACAACCAGAGCCTGAGGAGTGGACCTACAAGGACAGCTGGCATCCGTCGACTGCGCTCATCCAAACATCCGGCCTCGCGCTTTATATAACCCTATGTGTATTCATTGTTTGCAGGCATCGACAAGGCTCAAATGACATGGCGGCATGGCCAAGTAGTAAAAGCGACCAGAATGATTTGGCAATAATATGCAATAATTATCCAGTTCGTTTGTGTCAGCTCCTTTTGACAGCTGTTGTTACTTGTACTAGCACCTTAGAAGAGCAGAGCAGTTCTCTTGCAGGACTACCTAGCAATCATTTGGGGAGATATTGCAGCATGCAAGCAAGCACGCAGGAGCTGTTCAAAGGAAAGCAGCGGCACTTCCAGCTGCGCTTGCAGGGCCGCTTCAAGAGCGAGCCAAGCCAGGACAAATTTGCGAAACCTCAAGAGAGTCAGCTTTGGTTAAATTGGCATTGTCGCGTTAAGGACCTTTTTGCAGAAGAGGAGTGATTCTGGTGAGTTAGTATCAATTAATTTGGTACCCTAATTCTGGACAATAGTTGCGAAACTGCTCAGAAAAGGTTTGTAATCGTTTGTAATGATTTGTGTGCAAAACATTAGCCTTGCTACGCTCAACACCAGATGCAGGATATACTGTAGTTTACAAAGGATTGACACCGATACCTTGTCACTGGAAAGTTCCTCACGCCTGACTTACAATTCCCACAATCCATACTTTGTACATTTCGCTGACGCTGTGCCATGAACAGTGGGTGTTCTTGATGATCCCATGGCATTGTATATTCTTCGGTCTGGGTTGTTGGAAATGATAAGATGAACGACAACCAAGGTATAAACGAATGTCCGCCAGTTAGCTAATCTCTAGAGGAGTGCACGAAAAGACAAAGAGCAACACAAATGCAGAAAGCGCATGCACGGAAAACACAAAAATACTGAAGCTACTCTCAAAAAAAAGCAAGATCAAAGCCAAAAACATGAAACACAAAAAGGTAAGGGCAGATTACAAGAAAAACACATAGACTCTTATGAGCTATCTGTCTTAGATACATGATGCCGCAGCTTCACTTACTCACCCAAAGTGATACCGTTTGGTCATGTCCAGTCCAGCCAGCAGCAAAAGAGGCGGGATCTAGGACCTAGCAGCTCTAATGACTCTAATGTATGCTTTAACTGCTGTAGCTGTAGCTTGTCTCATATCATGCCAGAAGAACTAACAAGAAAACTGTGACTCTATTGATATCTCATATACTTATACCCTGCAACAAACATGAGCTGTCTAGAGAGTCTAGCACCTTTCACCTCACAATGGAGCCGTGGGCCGGATGTTTCTCAAGTTTTCTCAGTGTGTTTGAGGAGTTTGTTTTGGTTTGCTTTTCTTTTGCTTTTTTGTTGCTCTTTGGCACTTGCAAGCAGGGCAGTAGCAAGCGTGGCACCTGCAAGTCTACAATTAGCCGATCTGAAGCACAAGGTGCAGAAGTGTGACTGTAGAATAGCTATCTTTACTTGTAAGTGACAATACATATTGTAGTTATTTTGACTTGGGAGCTTCTTGATCTTTACTTCTAAGCTTCCCAAGTAGTAGTGTGCCGCATAATCCGGCCCTGTCCAACGAACGTGGACTACCCCCCTCTTTGAACTCAAGTAGGTTTACATCCTCCATCAAACATGTTGTTTAGCACTGATTTTAAAGGTGCACTTTCCAAGAAATCCAAGAATCCAACATTTGCTTTTGTATTGATTTATATAAGGTGAAGCATTTCCAAGGGGATGAGGACTGAATGATGGGAGCGGTTTCAGCCCAGTAAAACTCAGTGAGGTTTCGGTTCGGTTGGAATCGGTTTGAATGTTTAATTGAATCTTCGAATCGGTTCGGTTTGGTTGAGGAAGCTTTTGTTCATGCATTTTCGGTTCGGTTCACGGTTCGTTTCGGTTCGGTAAGGGATAAGTTACCCTGTGAGACAAGACAAGAAATAGATAAGACAAACAAGACCAGAGAAGACAAAACAAGACATGATGTGATGTGACATGTCATAGCAAATCAAGATCTACTTGGTAGATTTCCTGTCCAATATGCTTTCTAGACCGCCTGGAAAAAGCATATTCACAAACAGCTGTCTTTTCCTCAGCTTCTCATGGCTCAGAGGTTGTCTTGACTTACTTGTTGTCGACACGATGTCCCTCATGGTGCCTTCGTACATGATGCCAGAGCAGCTGCGCTTGGCTCGTGTGCAGCTTTGTGTGGGGCTGTTCCTGTTCAGACCTGCAGCGTTCAGCCCTGCAGCAGCGCAACCGCACGAGCAAGCAGAGCGGAAGAGCGGAAGACCTCGTAAGGGCACAGCTGTGGCTGTGCAGGGCACAGGCAAAAGTGGCCAGTGTCGTCAGGTGGGGGTTGAATATGCTTTTTTCTGCTTGATGCAAATGCATATTTGGCTGCCTAAAGTCCTAAAGGTGTTTATGATGGGCCGCCTTCTGTTCTGAGTGCTTAAATGCTTTTTGCGAATCGGAAAAAATGCATTTTGGAGTTGCCCTGCACATGGCGCAGGCGGACCAGCAGATTCAATATTTGCAGAGCCGCCCTGATGTTGCTTGCTTGACGAAGACTTCCATGTGTCGCTTGACCAAAGAGATCTTGCAGACCATCGTCAAGGAGCGCAACAGTCAGAGAGACCCATGGCTTCCGTGCAAGGAAAACTCCTTGGCTGAGCTCAAGATCTCCGCGGCAGCTCTAGCCGTCCTCTCTCATGCCGCTGAAGCATACGTGGTTCAGAGGCTGGTGCAGGGCAATGTGCTCGCCGCTCACCGTGGGAAGAAGACTTTGACTGAGAAAGACCTTCAAACTCTGCAGACAGTGGAGGAGGTTGCGGCTGGCCATGTTTGCAAGAAGCCGAGAACACAGTGAGGGCGGTTTTTGGGTCGATGGCCTAGGGTGTCAATGCTACGCATTGTTGTAGGGATTTGTGTCAAGATGATGCTCTTGAGCTTGAAAATGTGCTAGATTGCATTTGTAGTGAGCACACTTCTTGAGCTTCTTGAGCTTTGTCAGTGTGTACGCTTCTTGTCAGACATGCTAGACTGCATTGTAGTTGTGTCGAAGGGATGCATTTTTTCAATATGCTTTTTGCAGCAGTTGGTAAATGCACATTGCACATTCCAAGCCTTGCGTTAGCCTTACTAGACTTGTGATGCTTGGTTACTTACATTTGGTTGCACGGACTAGAGGAACATGAACACTCTTGTGCCGTTGATTTTAGGAGCTCGAGAGCTGTCCAGTAATGTAGATGTTTTTTGACCCCATGTGCTACAAATGCCTGCTGCCGCAGAAAGAAGCTGGGTGCACAGGGAATTCTGGCCGGCAAGACCAGGAGTGCCTGTGCGGTTTTGTAGAAGGTGCAACGCAGTTGAGCCAAGTCTAGAAGAAGTACAGAATGTGATCGATCGTGGTGGCAAACCACGCCGACACTGGAAAGGAGCTTGCGGCTTCGCCAGCACCAGTGCCATGGTGAACCACATGCGAGACTGCCATGAAGATGCTCTACCAGAAACGGTTTCCACCGAGAGGAGCACACCTTCAAAAAGCGCCAAGAAGGTCGACCTGCAACTGATGAGAGAGTGGGTGATCTACTTGGTGCTAGGCTGCCTGCTTCCTTTTCGTCTTGTGCACAATCGCTATGTCAAGGCTTTTTTGTCCCCTCGCTTGCCGGGCCTTGGTGGGAAGCATGCCTTGGATTTGGAATTCAAAGCTGTCATGCAAGACTTGCGAGAGAAGGTTTTGTCGATGATCCGGGCAGCACGAGACAGCGGCTGTCGCTTTACCCTATCGGCTGACACCTGGAAACCCAAAATGAAGAGGCGAAAACATTATTTGGCGTGCCACTTAGATTGGACACAAAAAGACTGGAGCCACACTAGCGTGTGCATCTATGTCGGTGTGGCAGAAGCACCGCGGACAGGCGAAAGTTGACAGGTTGGGTGTCTGTTTTGGCCCCTGTGCGGGGCCCCGGCGTGGCGAGTGCCTGGTTGTTTTTTTGGCCCCTGTGCGGGGCCCTGGCGTGGAGAGTGCTTGGGTGAGCTTGTTGGGCCCTGCGCGGGCCAATGTGGTAGCATGCGGAAATGCTTTTTTTGCACGCTGGAAAATGCATATTTGTCTTTGGGCCCTGGCAGGTGATCGCTACACA